GATAGAATCAGCTTACACTGAAAAGCAAACCAGAACCTGGAAACTGAAAAGCATAACCAGGAAAAAGCAAAATGGATTTTATTCCTTCTGTGCAAACCTACTGAGGCCAACAGAGTTCTACCGGGGCATAATTTCAATAAACACAGAGGAGAATCTAGGTCCTTGTAACAAGGCTCAGGCAAGCAAGAGGGGAAAAAAGGAAACTGATAAGGGAAAAGGAATAGTTTTCTATGGAAAAATGCTAGAGCAAAAAGCAAAAGTAAAAATTCTAAATAAAGAGTTAATAAGTTCTGGTTTATTAAAAGAGCACAACCATGGAACAAAAAAAGACTGGGAACAAAAGAAAAATTAATGAATTCTAAACTGCTGGCAACCACAAGGCTCCACTGCAGTCTCCAGGACAGAGCAGCACAGTAGAAACACCATGCTTGCTCTGACAGACAATTTCTTGCTGCTTTACTCTGGAGAGGAGCGTTCACACCCATTTCAATGAAGTTCCTCAACAGATTTCCACCCCTCACCAAAGACATATATTATTTGAATGCAAGAATTATTTAAAGATTATAATAAACAATAACTTAATATAAAACTTCCAACAGAAATAACAATTGAATCTGTAAGACATAATTCTAAATCAAGTATTTTCCAAAACAATTTTTTCCAAAAATTCTCAATTTCAAGAGGATCTAAAGCAGATTTGTTTTTATTCTCATTTGCATAAGCAAGTCCCAAGAATCAACTAGACTCTGTCATTTTAATGTTTTGCATAAAAGTAGTCATTAGAATATTTCTGATCCAGCATAACATGAACACAGGTTGCAAATAGCTCCTCAGTGTCACTGACATCAATGCTAAAATTCCAAGTGACACCAACAGAAGCACATTTCCTCCCCAAAAATATACCTTCAGCACCTTTATTTACTATAAGATCGCAGTTAAACTGATTAAATTCTCCAAAGAAAGAACATCTATCATTTCAATTTGGCTGAAGTCAATTGCAGGATAAGCAACAGGATTCAGATTTGTTCCTTATAGTTTATAACTAATTGTACAAGGGCATTTCTTTCACTTATCTTTCAGAGGTTTTTTGTGTGTTTTATTTACTTCATCAGGATGCCATCTAAAAATATCTTAATATTGCTTAAGTATTGTAATAATTCTGCTCTGCTGTGTGTTTGTACTGCACTTCGCTCAACTAGATCATAATTTCTCATTCTTTTGACAAGGGTACAAAGGCACTAAAGTATGGGAAATAGTAACAACTTCAAGTTACATCAAGGTACATACTGTCAACATCAGGTACAACCTAACAACCATTCTCAGGTAGAATTTACACGCAGTTTTAAGAGGCGAGCACAACAAACAATGGATTTATAACTCTTTAAATCCAAGTCTTCAAAAGTACCATGCTGGGCATCACTTTTGGACAGTTTTATCACTTGCACTGTGCACCATGTGCTGTAGAGTCCCACCACCTCAGAAAGGGCTAAAGTTGATAGTCAAAAACCTACAAGTGGATTAACGTTTTACGTTTTGTTCTGTGTTTACAAAGCAGGTTTTTTCAATTGTATTTTTCCAATGGCTGTGTTTTCTTGCAAAAAATATTAACAGTTGAAGTGGTCAATTACAGTTTATTTTATCATTACTAGATATAGTCAGTTTGGTTTGCTTCTCCCCTCTTATGAGGAACTATCCTGTAATGGCAAAAATCATACTTAAAACATTTCTTTACTCTGTACCTCTCATCCAAGGACTACAGTGGATACATTGTAAGATATTTTGTGCATGCATGCACAGATAGCCAGACATGATCAGGTCCATGAAACATACAGAGACAAAATACATCCACGTACATACAGGCAGATTCGTCTTTCTGGACACACTTAAGACTTTGGCCTATTGACCTTTCTCAGGAAAAAACTGTACATCTAATAGATCAAAAGGGATTTCTCCTGCTAATTCTTACTTCAAAATAAATGAAAGAATTTCTATGCTGAGAGAGACTTAATCCTCTCCAACATTTATGTTACGTTTAATTTATGTTATAATTTTTTAAATGGGATTAATTTAGATATCAGTGAGCCACTGGATTTATCTGGTCTTCCTCAGCTTTTTCAAATAACCTTACATTAATATCAAGAGAGTTTTATCATAGAAAGGCTATGATTTTGTTCCTGCAAAAACACACTCCGAACTAAAATGTTTGATTTATTCCAGATGTGCCACTAGGAAAGCTAAACATAAGCATATGCATAAATATTTTCAATATTAGGATTTAGGAGCGAATTATTTTTAAAAACTCAATCTCTGAGAAAATACATTAATATACAAATATAATTTACAATATAAAAGCTTATTAAAGAAACACAATACACCAAATTGATCTGCTCTGCAATGTCACATTTATACAATGCTACAAGTCCACTGTTAAATTTATAAATATTGTTTTTTAATCAAGTTGCACATGGCAGAATATAAAGTTAGTTCCAATCTATCCATTTATAGCTAAGAGGCTTTGGTCCCTTGTGGTTTACCTTCGAAGCATTAAAACACACCTTAAGTAAAAATATTTTAGGGATTAAAGAAATAATGACCCTTGTTATAAAGTGTTCTTTTAATTTTTTATGGGATTACATTAATAAATCCAAATTGTATTATAAAAGATTTTAAAGAGATCCTGTTAATTGTATTTAATTTTCAGACAGATGAAAGTACATATAAGCATATGTAAAAATCAGGATTTACTCTAAACTAAACTACAGTGTACTATGCTGTAAATACCTCCACTTTCTGAAGGTATGAATTCTTTGCCCTAGAAAAGACAGATATGAAATATACATTATTAATATGAATACATCTTGCAGAGATGTTTCTCAGAATAAAATCTAAGAAGAGTTGTTTGAGGATACTGTATTCCAAAGAAGAAATTCTTCCCTAAACGTAAATTTTATTATATTAAGAACACAAGAGCAAATTGACCATCTAAAAAGGTAACCTCAGAAAAGCAAGTATTTTCTGCATAGCTCTTGAAAATTACAGATGTAACATCTGGTATTCTGGGTCTTTGAAACAGAAGCTTGTCCTAGCTACCTATCCGATTCATTAAATAAATGGAAAGGAAAATAAATGGAGTGGGATTTCTAAAGCTCTGAAAACACATATCCAATTATATCATGGTGCTTGATGACTTAACTCAGGAACTTCTGTAAATCCCATTACAATTGTCTGAATGGATGTGACATTGCAAGAGAAAATGGAGACAGAGAGAAAAGAACTGTAAATTCCCTTAATTTAGAGAAATTAAGATCTTTTTAATGGAACACTAAGGGTACATACATTTTTGCCCCAGTACTTCCCATTCTCCTTCCAAACACAATTTTAACATGGAAAACAAACACCCATTTGGCAGGAAGAACAGACATACAAAGCACATTCACCTCCCCACTTCCCCACCAACAGGCCTCCATGTTACACCTGGCAGGTGGGACTCAAGCAGGTATTTTAAGAGCTCCTCAGTGAACCAGACACGTTAGTGCCTATTGCATAAAAAGCCACTGTCCTGGATCTGAACATCCAGGAGCACCAGGTGCTCATGGTACATCTGCCTGTGCTGCCTTCCACACAGAATGATCCAAATGTGCCTTAGGCACCTGCTGAGACCAAGAATTTCAGATCCCTGCTTATGGGCATGACGAATGGGGGCAGATAAGGGAACAGATGGGTCTTGAAGCATCTCCAGAAAGAACAAAGGCAGGCTTCTGTGACCTACTAAGAAAACACACTGCAAAGTCAAGATGCCTTGAGAGAGAATATTTTGCCAGTGGTTTGAGCCATGTCTCAAATGACTGCTGACCTCAGCAGAACTGGAGGGGTCTCTCCCTCCTCTGGAAAACACTACATGTCTCGAAGCTTCTTTATGTATTGCCAGCTAGAGCTGAACCACATGTAATTTTCCATTCTCTCAAAAGTGAACAGTGAGGCAGAGACAGAAAACCAGCAGTCCATGCAGAGTTAAAAAAATCGCCTTTTTTCCTTATAGGAGAAAAAGTGATTATGGTGAATTGTGTAGGAGTAGAGAGTACATGACTCATGGTGCGTTATTGTAGTGCAGCAGGGAGGCAGAGCTAAAGAGAAAGCAGAAAGGACAAAAGCAATGCTTCCTAAACCAACAGTTTACTTTGCTGTTTGTGGTTATGGTTTGCTCAAGGGACATTTTTCACCTTTTTGCCCTCCTATAGTTTGGAACTAACAGGAAAGCCTTCACAATTTTTTTTAGATTGTACATGTAACTTCTGTTCTAGGCTAAAGTACAACAAAAATTATATATATTAAAAAAACCAAAAAACAATATCCCTGGCCCAAGAAAGCATTAAGGACATATTGAACATGGAGGATAAGAGCATTTCACTGAAGTCATTAATGTTAAGAACCTTTTAAAGAGCCCATTTCAATTGCTGCCCTCCCAACAAATCTATCCTTTTAACAAAACATTTTTCCAGGTTGTGGCTGGGCTAAAAAAGTGTTTTTAAATGTACTTATGTTCATTTCTTACTTCCCTACATTGCTCCAGAGGAGTCCAGAGGTGGTATGTGTACAGTCCTATCACAAGATCAGGTCTCAGACTTTGCCACACAATAAAAAAAAAAAAAAAAAAAAAAAAAGTCAGCAGACAGAATGTAAAAGGACCTTCCCAGACGCACACACACACTTTCTACTGATGGGACGTGAAGCTGTGCTTACTAGAGGGCAGAATTTGACCTATATTTCTAAATTAGCAACAAGCAACAAAAAAAAAAAAAAAAAAAAAAAAATGCAAACTCAGTACTAGCACAACTGTATGTTAAAAACTGAATGTTTCTGTCTTCTGACGCTGAAACTTTGCAGCTTTCCCCAATTATGAATGGCAAGTTGGTTTATGCCAATTTCATTTATCAGAATTCACAAGGCTAAATATTTGGAAATATCAGTCCCCACAAATATTGAAAAGGTTTCTCATCAGTGAAGCTCAGAACAAAGTTAAACTTCAAAACCTAAAGCTTATGATCAACAAGACTGTGGCACGCAACCAACACTATGTGATAACTCGTTTGCTTTCATTATTTCATTATTCTTCACGTGAACTTTCAAAGAGATTTTGTGAAAATGTCCTGCAGTTATTAATGAATCTTCAAGGTGAACCACCTTCCCACAAACATGGGAACACTTGGGAAGGGACAAGAGACCCATGTGAAGGGACCAAACCAGGCAATTGCCAAGGCAAGAGTGAAAGCACAGCTCAGGAGAAAAGTGAGATCTCAAGTAATATTGAGAGACATAGGAAAAACAAGACAAAACTAGATGAGAGGCACTACAGAAAGACGTGCCTTAGAGCTGACAAATGGAACAAGCTGGAGCATGTAATACCTGGCAGGCAACAAAATGAAAGAATTCTGTGCTTTTAAAGCCAAAAGGGTTCCTTTTAAGAGACCTTTTTGTAGAGAACTACAGCTATACAACCACATCTGACATTGCAGGAATAGACTAACCCAACTCTCCCTCCAACTCTTTATTTTCACAGCTTATGTTCTACCCTTCTATGTCTAACCAACATTGCTGCAAGGAGCATAAGGTAGGTCAGAGTGAACATCAGGATGAACAGGGCACTCAAGGGAAGCAGAGGCAAGGAAGCTTGGAGCAGGGGATCTGTGCTGACAGAGTAAAAAATTTTTTGCAATAGGCTGTAGTATCCTGGCAGCCAAAGGGAGAGGAGACCTTGGTCAATGTTCCTGTCTAGCCAAGAAGAATCAGTAGCTGACTTGCTTCTATGTGGGGGCAAGGCTGAATCAAGGCCAGCAGGTTAGTAAGATCTATGTTTTTTTCAGTCCTGTGAGCTGCTAGGTCCTATTAATTTTAAGGTAAGTAATGTACAATGCCAGTGGCAGACAAGTCCACTATTATGTTATTTCTATAAAAAATGTCTTAATAAAGTCATTCTCCAGAAAGTCATTAATTTTTAAAACACCACCTTACCATCATCAGTACAATGATTCAGCAAAAGGACATTTTTTTGGATAGGTTCACCCCACAGAAAACTCGGTGAGTCAGTATCACGGAGAAGGGAAGGCAGGGAGCCCCCATTCTTCTATCAGGCATTCTATCTCTAAGGACACCAGATATAACAGTTTCAGTTTGTCCAAGGATGCAATCAAAGGACTGAAGACTACAGAAGATTTAAGAGTGAGATTCAAAAAAGAGAGTTGTGTGCCTAAGCCCAAAATTGTCATTGCCAGCCTGATGCACTGGTGGCCACTTATCCCTTTCAATATCAAAACTCTAAATGCTACCCTGGAAACATCTTACCTGAGATCTACCCTTGCATGTGCTCAGACTTGCCCCAGGCTGAGCAGAGAGCTACCTACCTCATACATGCTATAACGTGTGGCACTTTTCATCTTTCTGTGAGAGACTACTTCATACAGACTAACACAGCCAGATCCCTTTCAAAATGCAGCCATGTCTGCTTTTTGAGGCACTGCTGAGGGAAGCAGTTAGAGGGTTGCTATGTATCATGTTGACATTCACATGAAATCATCAATATGACCATCACGCAGCAGGGAATGCAAAATTTATACAGACAGAGAAAAAGGAAAAAAAATTGTGATGAAGGATAGGCATTTAGAAAGCTCAGGTTCATGCACAGATAGAGATGCCTCTCTTTAGACCTGAGACAAGTAACTTTTCAGATGTAGGATTTTGAAATACACCCCAGATCTTAGTATTTCTTTTGGCTAGTTCCTGTGGCTCCATGTGACAAAGACAAGAATGTTCCATGTCCCACCACAACAAGCTAACAATTAAAATCAGGAAGTTCCAGTCTCAGGGATGGGATATCATATGTCCAACTGAAATTCAGTTTCATCCAGTAATTATGACTTGGGGGCTCACACAACTCAATACAAGAGTATAAGTACAGTAGTAAGCAGAATAAGTCTGGGATCCACTAAAGAAACTGAAATACGACTCTTTCAAAGACTGAATTATTAGGCCAATATCATGAGACAGTTTTCACAACTTCTGACTTTCTTCTACATGGTGATGTTAGGTGCTTTCTCCAGTGAGAAAGTATCTGTCCAATCTGTGACACTCCAGAGTGTTTTTGTTCAGCTGAAGATGTGGCTAGGCAACTACATGAGGACTGTAAAACAAGTGTAGAAGCCATTATAAGTATTAAAACATCAGTCCTGCTTGCATTTACATATTTGGAAACTTAAATCACAGGAAAATAATCTCTCACCTTCTAGATCTTCCTTTTCAAAATGCGTTTTGAGAATGGAGCGAGTTCCACCTCTATCAACAACAGCCTCTTCATCATTCCTCTGCAAAACAGAAAAAAGGATAGATAAGTTGCTTCTCATTTATAAACAACTGGCAAGATTGTATAGCACTGTGAAACAAAGATGCTTTGAATATTTATCTATTCACTCTTCCTACTTAGGAACAAAAATGTGTTTAAGAATTTCATTTTCTTTATTAAACTCTATTCCTTATGCATCAGTTTTCATTGAGGTACGATTACAGCTAACTTTGACATGAAGACATTCTCCTGTTAAAACCGGCAAGATGATGAGTAAACAGTGGTAACATTGATAAGACAATGAAAGATGAGAGCAGAAATGTCTGGTTGAGGCAGCTTTATTCTTGTACTCTTGAAGAAAGGGATTGCACGTGTCTTTTTGTCTTCAGACCAGCATCCTGAGCTACATGCAGAATTCACAGATTATCAGCACTAACGCTCCTTATACGCTGGCAAAGCTAGAGAATGAAACTTAGTGGCAAGATATAATAAAATTTCAATATCATTGAAACAACTGGTTTAACTTACTAGTGAATTGCAAAGATTTTGCTTTTTTTTTTATAAACACCAAGCTGCAATTACAATAAAGGCAGACAGCACATATTAATAGCAGAAAACAGAAAAGCTATTATTTTTCCTCAGGAACATATATCTCACGTTTAATTTTATGTTGTAGTCATACATGCATTTTAACTGTATTCTCTAGTGCACTGTAAATGTACCATGTGATGAATTAGTGTATTGTGCTCAGGCTAAAAAAGCTACAGAAATTAGTGATTCAGGCACTTCTGACGTGAAAAAAAAAAAAAAAGAAAAAAAATCACATCTCCCTAAGTAGAGAAATATTTTGGGAGTTCACCAACAGGGCACTGGACAATGTGCTAAAATAAGTATCGGCTTCACCATGAGTTTTACATCACCAACTGTAAAAAAACAGTTGCTAAATACAGCGTATATTTCACAACATTACAGAGTGGTTTCCAGTAAATGATGATGAAGGAAAAAGGATGAATTATACAACATCAATTAATATATCATGATTATGTATTTACTTGTCATTAGCGGAAGGGTGGTTTTAGTAAGTGATATTAGAACTAGAAATGCTTCATTTCAATCTATAAAATTGGTATCTTAATGGAAGTCTGAAGCAAGAGGATTTGAATACCTACATTATGTACTAAATATATATCTATATATAGAAGCAATAGAATATAACATAGAAATTAAACTACACGAGCACCTCCCCTTAAAGAGCAGATGCCCCAGGCAAAAGAATGCACAACTAGAGATGGATGTTTTGCATTCTAGATATAGGTTTTTATTTCAGACTCCTCTCTCTTTTAAAAATAGCTGTCATGCAGTAGCTATCGTATATAGAAAAATCCTAGGAACGTGTCAGCACCAAGCATCTGGGCTGTTAAAGAAAGAGAGACTAAGAGCGTTACAGTGTCTTTATTAGAGCTTTCCCACAGATAACAGTATGCAACTAAAATCTGACAATGAGAAAAGACCTTCCATTGAAACTGTTTTGTCTTTTAATAATTTAGAATTAGCTAATATCTATTAAGATGTACTAGGGCAGTATAATTTTCCACAAAGCATTTGATAATCTTACGTAAAATGAATCCATTATTTTAAGCAGTTAGATATAGCTGGGTGTGTTTGCCAAGCTGGCGTGATGCCATACCCCTGGGTGAATGGTTAGGCAGGACGCCAAAGGCCAAGTATTACAGCCACATCAGAAGCAGTGCTATTCTAGCGTAAGACATAGCCATCAGTATTTTACTGATCCTGAAAAGGCCTTATGGAGGCAATACAATGGGGAAAGTATTAAATTGCTGGATAGTTTAAAGCCTTTACAGATCATTTAAGTAAACTAAATACAAATTAATTCATTAATATTTATCAAAATATGCTCATACACTTTGACTTCTCCTTTCCCATGTGTTCAATTTTCAACTTTTGGCAATCTTTTTCTTCCCTGCCTCCTCTTCCTGTAATGTCACAGCAATTCTCAGCCTTGCCTCATTCTCAGAAGTGGGTTTATTGCATTAATATTACAGGGAAAAACAGCTTAATTGGGAGTATTGTGTTGTTGCCAATTCACTTGTCAAACTGTGAGCAAAGTCCAATTAAACAGGCCTTGCACTGTACACTCTCCACTTCCCAGGGAGCGGTATGAAAGCCATCTTGCATTTACCAGTACTACAGTCACGCTGCATTTAGTCTAGAAGTAATTTCTGTGACTCCTGTACTGCCTTCTTGGAGGAGGGGAGAAGGGAGGGAAGGGCTCACTAGTAGTTTAGTGCAACTAGGTCTTAATCTCATTTGGAGATAAGCACTATCACAATACAAGTAAATATAGTGGCAGATCCTCTCCACTTTCCCATGATCACTAGAGTCTAGAAACTTCATTTCAGTTGGTAATGCTCTAGTTTTTATAAGCATGTCAGGAAAACTATGAAATTAATAGTTTTAAGTGTTGCAATAAATGAGAATTTGAAACTGAAAGTACAGGCAAGACTAACCATAAAACAGTCATGGAAGATAGAATGCATGCTCTGGATGACTTTTAGTGTACCAAGCACCCACCAACCCCCACACTAACATCCTCAATG